CGTGATCCACCCGCCTCGGCCTCCCAAAGTGCTGGGATTACAGGCTTGAGCCACCGCGCCCGGCAAGCATATTTTTCTTACATGCTTGTTCTAACAACAAAACAACAAAAATCAATAGAAATATGGTAAAGAAAAAATAACTCGAGAGATTTTTTTTTAAAAATGAAAAATGACATCACAGTTAATATCCTACTATGTCAATCTGAGTTTTTATAAAACCACAAAACCTTGCAAATTATGAAGTGGGCATGTGGGTGTATGTGAGGACGTGTGTGTGGGTGTGTGTGAGGGTGTGTGTGAGGATGTGTGTGTGGGTGTGTGTGGAGGTGTGTGTGTGGGGATGTGTGTGTGGCACAGGCTATCAAAACTGAACTACATACACTACAGTCAGCACTATACAACAGAACTTTCTGCAATGAGGGAAATACTCCATCTGTGCTGCCCAATGCAGGGGCCACTAACCACATGCAACTATTGAGCACCTGAAACCTGCCAACTATGACCAAGTAACTAAATCTTTAGTGTTAATTAATTTCCATTTAAAATTATACAAGTGACCACAGGCTACCACACTGGGGTGCACAGGTTTTGACTACCATACGTTTTAAGTGCTCTGTGCAAAAAGCCTGAGGTAAATATTTACACTCAATTCTAAATAAGGGTCCATACCACTAACAAAGAAATTGCACTTGCAGAAAACAAAACAAGGTTTGTAGGGGGTGCTCAAAAATTGCTCTAAGACATAATACACCCAATTTGTTCCCTTCTCCATGACAAAAGAGGTTCATCGGCCAGAAAATACTGGAGCAACAAAAGGCAAATGTATCTGAGATGGGCATTCTTCCTGACTGTCAACATAGGCACTCTTCCCTCAGACTAATTTTTCGGAGTAAAAATTTTATTACTACCCAAGACATAAAGTGGGCAACTTTACAAATGCCTATTACACATCTTGTAATTGTCATTTTCTGAAAGTAGCAGAGTTTAATGATTTATAACCATTTTAGACAGCACCAGTAGAAAAGTACTTCCATTAGGTACCTAATACGAGTCACAGGTAACAAACTGTTTACTTTCTAATTAGACTATCACAGTAACAGACTTCACTAACTGACTAAAACATGGCACAGCCAAAAAAGCCTTCTTGGTTGGTTTCAGCCATTTCTATACATCATAGTCTAAATATTCTAAATATACACTCTTAAAACTCTTACCATGTTCATTCTGTTCTTTGAAATCTCAACTATTACACAGATGTCCATTAAAACTCAATTTTAATCTAATTTTAGTTTTGAAAATCACCCTCCTCAACCAATTAAAAGAAGACCAGAAAACTTACATTATAAATCCAAATGACAATAAGATAAATAACATTGGTTTTCACTGCGAACAGTAACTGAGTAAAAGTTAGGACAGGAAGATGTTTTCACTATGTATCATCCTTTTCACCACTCGTAGTTTACAAGACCAAATAACAGAACGCTGCACAATTATCAAACAGCCAAACTGAAAATTCATATGGACAAATTTTCTATCAATAGCTAACTAAAAATATTAAATAATAAATAATTAACAAACACTAATTTTTGGTAGTCTTATACTGAGCCACTCACGAATAACTGAGATTAGTAAGGACTCAAAGACAATATGCTAAAGGTAAAATGTTTGCATGTGTAAGTTACAGCTTTTCCTAATGTCATTATCTTACTGGCTTTGAAAGATATAAATATATACCTATCAGACTATATTCTCAATAGTTTAAAATTTCTACTTTAATTGCATTGCCTACTTTTTAAAATAATTATTTCTTTCAGGCATAGATCTCATAGATTCACTGTAACAAAGGAACAGATTTACAAGTGCAATGACATTTATTAAAAACAGTCATTTTTCCTAAAATTAACCATTTCAAAAGAATCCATTCCATTGGGCTTTTTGTATAGGGGTAAAGCTCCTGTAGTTAAAAAAAAAAAAAATCTCATTAGTCATTAGATTGTTAGGACTTCTGGGATACTCTCAACATCCCTGCCTTGAGAGTACGTATATACAAATAGTTAGAAAATTAAATGGATGAAATATAAATAATACGACTTGTTTGTATACAGAAGAACCTCTAATCAGTATAGATGGCTCAGTCTAGGAAACTATGGAGCTTGGTGTGTAATACTCATTCAATTTTTCAGCACAGTCAAAATTCCAACACATGTAAAGGTATAAAAATATCCCTTTCCCCCGTTTGTCTACTCTATTCAATATTTTTTAAGTAAATACTTTTGATATAGTAATCATCCACAATAAAAAGCTACTGGTACTTTTTCTTCAACAGGATAAGAGTAAATGAGACTTAAACATTTTCCAAATATGAAATATGAAAAAATTCCACAAAGTCCCTCAAAACTTTCATATTCTCAAAGTGGCCTTCTTTTATTTTATTTCACTTATTCTTTTTCTAAAGAGTACTATTCTTGTTGTTTGTGTCTATCTGGGAGAAAAAGTTACTAGGTACCCATAGCAATATTATTTTATTTAAAAATCCAGAAATGATAAATGACTGGACAGAAGGCTGCATTAAAATAATGGTAACCCTTCTCAGGCTACCGGGAGTAGATCTCATTTCCAGCTTCAATTCCAAGCTTGACTAGATATACCTTAAAATGAGCAGATATAATACTAACACACAGAATCAAAAACAGAAAAGAGAAAGAAGAGAGGCAGATTGGGATGCTCAAAGGCGTTCTAGCTCCTGGTATGAATTTACCTTTCTAAAAGAGCTGGCACAGAGCTAGTATTTTAATTCATCTTGTATTCAACATCAGCTTACACATATAATAAACATGTGTCCCTCTTCGAACTTGAATTCACAGAGTAGGCAGCTGTCACTGTACCTAGGAAGCCTTCCACAATCGCCTTGTCCCAAAGTAGCAGAGCTGCCCATCCCAGCACTGAGCCTCCACGTACAATGTGAAAATACTCAGAACCTCACCATCACCGAAACCATAGTGCTCTCATTTGCTGACTCCCCCAATGAGGCTGTGAACTGCCCAAGTTCATACCACATCTTGTTCAACTTTCTAGTATTACGACTGGCACAGTTACACAATGCTACTGTGTTTTAAAACTAAAGCTTCATTACTTATTCTAAAGTAATTCAGAAATTTCTCTAGTTGTTAAATTCTTGTGTTTTGATCTTGCTAAAAATGATTTTTAGTCCCTCTAAAACCTGAATCGACTTACAGTAGAAGATCTCTCAACCAATCTCAATTAGCTTATTTATCTGATTAACAAATACCAGCTATTAAAGTATGCTGAACACTTACTTATACTAGCGAGCAACTCTCTAGAATGCCCACATGCTTTTTTATTTTTATTTATTTTATTTTTTATTTTTTAGTAGAGATGGGGTTTCGCCACATTGGCCAGGCTGGTCTCAAACTCCTGACCACAGGTGATCCTCCTGTCTCAGCCTCCCAAAGTGATGGAATTACAGGAGTGAGCCACACACCAAGCCTGTAATTTATGTGTCTTTTTTTTTTTTTTTTTTTTTTTTTTTTTTTTTTAATTATCTCAAGCCTTATGATCACACATAATGTTTAACCTTTTATCTCTCTACTTAAAGCCTTCTAATGAGGTGGCAAAAGTGCCATTACCAAGCACATATACACAGTAGTTTCAGAGTTTTACGTGTTTTTGAATAGCAGTTTGAAGGCAATCCTAAAGTATGAACTAGCCTAACTTAGTAACTCTAAAGTTTAACTTGCTACTATTTTTGTCACACTGACCTTTAAAAGCATCTGACCTAAAAGATCACCTATAAAACGTGAGAGGTGTTCAATTTTCTTTCTTTGGTATTACACACAAACCACATTAAAATACCTCTTAATAAATAAAATGCAGCATTTTAAATACAGGTAATAGGATGCCCACATCCTTCTGCTCCTCCCAGTTGAGCTATCTTCTTGCCAAGAATCAGGCTGTGTCTATTCCCAAACCAACTATTCCTATCAGTGAAATGATTTAATAGTATATAAATCAATAAAATATGAGTATAAAAAGAAGGTTACTCTTCCCGCTAAAACAAATTGAAAGACTAGAAAACTCACAAAGATGAGAAGCTAAAACCAAACGATACTGTCTGTCAGACAACTATAAAAGACCTGGGAGGGAGATTAGAAAAATCTACAAGGTTCTAGTCAGCCATAAAAAAAAAAAAAAAAAAAAAAAAAAAGAAAAAGAAAAATCTACAAGGATTCTGTATCGAATGAAACAGGACTCATAATCAATTCACGCAGAATATGATTTATAAAGGGATGATAGCTCAAATCTCCAAACAGGAATAAAAGGCTTTGTCTTTCATTTGGGGAAAAAAAAAATTCCTCCCTTGAAAAAGGAGAAAAAACATTGAAACACTGGTAAATAAATTTTTTTTTAACGTTTAAAATCAAAATGTTTCAGAAATATATATTAATTCCTTCAATACAGGTTTTCAACAATTTGTACTTGCAGTAGGTTAAGACCCTTTATTGTATTTAATGTCTCAAAAGAAAATTAAGTAAAAAAATGTTAAACTTTATTAAATCCTTATTACTACAATACTTTGCCATTCTGTTTGTTACATTTCGTAATATATTTCCATCCTTAGCCTAAATAACTAAATAAAACCAGTATGATATATATTAAACTGTACATCGTATCCTGGCTCTATACATCCAGTAGATGTTATCCAGAGCAAATTCCATGGAAATACTACCAATGCATTCTGAAAAAAAAAAAATTGTTTTTCAATTTAATAGTTAATAAGCAAGTTAAAAATCAGTGACATCTTCACAAGACTGAAGTAAAAACTTTCTCAAACACTGAAAAGTGATCTGGTTTCTAAACTTTTAAATGCTAAGTACTGGAACACTTTAATCACCATCACTATTACTAGCAAAAGCCCCAAACAGGGGGTTAAGCACAGTACAGTGTTGCAATCAAATGCGAGACACAAAGAAATTCTTTACCTTCCGATTCTGATCATAAGCAGAATCAATCCCCAAAATGCTATTCACTTCTACATACGGGTATTTCTTCTCCAGGACACTGACCACATGTTCAACTTTCACTTTTTCTCCAGTTCTCACCTTGTTATAGATCTGAAGAAAGACAAAACAGTTGGTTAACTACACTTTTAAGTTCAAATTTAAAAGTGTTCATTCCACATTTTTTTGAATGTAGAGGAAAATATGATTATTTTTCTTAAAAGGCCAATTGGGACATGTTAGCAATTCTTCCTTTTCCAAATACCTTATTAAGATGGCTCCTTAGGTTGAAAATTTAAAAAAATATACTTGTTTTTTGAAACAGAGTCTCATTCTGTTGCACAGGCTGGGAGTGTAGTGGTGCAATTTCAGCTCACTGCAACCTCCGCCTCCCGGGTTCAAGTGATTCTCCTGCCTCAGCCTCCCGAGTAGCTGGGATTACAGGTTTGCACCACCATGCCCAGCTAATTTTTATATTTTTTAATAGAGATGGGGTTTCACCATACTGGCCAGGTTGGTCTCGAACTCCTGACCTCGTGATCCACCTGCCTTGGCCTCCCAAAGTGCTGGGATTACAGGTGAGAGCCAACGCACTTGGCCAAAAATTAAATATTCTTAAAATGAACCAATCAGTTCAGCCAAGTTAAGTCTCAAATGCAAAATATATATACACACACACACACACACACATATATATATATATATACACACATTAGTTAAGAAAAATCTGAATAGGCCAAGCAGGCATGGTGGTTCATACCTACAACCCCAGCACTTCGGGAGGCTGAGTCAGGTGGAACACTTGAGGTCAAGGGTTCAAGAACAGCCTGACCAACATGCTGAACTCCTACTAAAAATACAAAAATTAGCCTGGCATAGCCTGGCATGGTAGTGCACACCTGTAATTCCAGCTACACAGGAGGCTGAGGCAGGAGAATCCCTTGAACCAGGGAGGCAGAGGTTGCAGTGAGCCAAGATCACTGCACTCCAGCCTGGGTGATGGAGTAAAACTGTCTCGAAAAAAAAAGAAAAAGAAAAATCTGAACACTTATAAGTAGTTCTTGAATAAAAACTATGTCCATGATGTTTAGGAGGGATGAAGATAGGGAGAAGGGAGAGATAGAGAAATCTAAACTGACACTAAAATTATTTGTTTGAATTTTTTTTTTTTTTTTTTTTGAGCTAGAGTTTCACTCGTTACCCAGGCTGGAGTGAAATGGTGCAATCTTGGCTCACTGCAACCTCTGCCTCTTGAGTTCAAGGAACTCTCCAGCCTCAGTCTCCTGAGCAACTTGAATTATAGGCCCCTGCCACCATACCTGGCTAATTTTTGTATTTTTTGTATAGATGAGGTTTCACCATGTTGGCCAGACTGGTCTCCAACTCCTTATCTCAAGTGATCCACCCACCTTGGCCTCTCAAAGAGCTGGAATTACAGGCGTGAACCACCACACCTGGCCAATTTTTGTATTTTTAGTAAAGACACGGTTTCACCATGTTGGCCAGGCTGGTCTCGAACCCCTGATCTCAGGTGATTCACCCACACTGGCCTCCAAAGTGCTGGGGTTATGCGTGTGAGCCACTGTGCCTGGCTTAATTGTTTTTACAGCAATCAGTATTACTTTACTTCTGAAATAAAAACAGAAGCCATGCACCAGTGGCTCACACCTAAAATCCCATAACTCTGGGAGGTCAATGCAGTTAAGACTGCTTAAGCCCAGGAGCTTGAGACCAGCCTGAGAAACATAGTGAGACACTGTCTCTACCAAAAATTTTTTTTAAAAATTAGCTGGGTATGATGGCACATGCCTGTAGTCTCAGCTACTCTGGGACGCTGAGGCAGGAAGATCACATAAGGCTAGGTGTTTGAAGCTGTAGTAAGCCCTGGCTGTGCTGCTGCACTCCAGCCTGGGCAACGGTGAGCTCCTGTCTCAAAAAAAAAATTTTTTAATGAACAGCGGGTGGTGGGTGTAGCTGGTCCTGTTGTGCTATGGCTCTGCACAGCCTATACTCTCAGGCCACATAGTCCACCGGACATGGAACCTGGCTTCAATGGTCACACTGCCATAAGGAGGCCTGGTTCCATAAGATCTGCAGCTTGAGGCCCAGGGAAGCCTTGTCAGTACAGATGAAGCAGCTACTCCACTGCCAGCACTCACGCTCCCAGGATATCGTTGTTTTCCACATTAAGACCTACAGTAGCAGGCCGGGTGAGGTGGCTCATGCCTGTAATCCCAGCACTTTGGGAGACTGAGGCCAGCGGATCACAAGGTCAGAAGTTCGAGATTAGCCTGGCCAGTATTGTGAAACCCTATCTCTATTAAAAATACAAAATCAAAATTAGTTGGGCATGGTGGCGCTCACTTGCAGTCCTAGCTACTCGGGAAGCTGAGGCAGAAGAATCGCTTGAAATCAGGAGGCAGAGGTTGCAGTAAGCCAAGATATCACACCACTGCACTCCAGCCTCCATCTCCGGGAAAAAAAAAAAAAAAAAAAAGCCAGGCATGGTGGTTCACGCCTGTAATCCCAACACTTTGGGAGGCTGAGATGGATCACGAGGTAAAGAGATCGAGACCATCCTAGCCAACATGGTAATACCCTGTCTCTACTAAAAATACAAAAATTAGCTGGGTGTGGTGGCACACACCTGTGGTCCCAGCTACTCGGGAGGCTGAGGCAGAAGAATCAATTGAACCCAGGCAGCGGAGGTTGCAGTGAGCTGAGATTGTGCCCCTGCACTGCAGCCTGGCGACAGAGCAAGACGCCATCTCAAAAAAAAAAAAAAAAAAGAAAGAAAGAAAAAAAGACCTACAGCAGTTTGCTGGTGTTGGATGGCATCATCCCCTTTATGAACAGAGACAAGTTCTACCAGGAGATGAGAATCAACCTGCCACTCTGCAGCCACCCCATCCCACAAAAGTTGCTGATCATCGGGGACAGACACAGTATCCTGCACAAGGTAGTGAAGCACCCCTCTGGATTCTGTGGTCCAATGACAGACTGAAGAGGATGGCATCCAGGTCCCTAACAAGTTCCTGCTGGGTAAGGCCATTGGCTACTCTAGCTCTGAGCTAAACCTGCATATGGGTGACAATTTTGATTTCGTGAAGCAAAACCAGGATGCCTTCAATATTATGATCACTGACTCCTGGGCTCTGCTGAAAGCCTCTTCAAGGAATCCTATTACCACTCATGAAGATGGCCCTCGATGAGGAGGACACCATTCTCTGCTGCCAGGGTGAGTACAGTGGCTGTACCTGGACCTCATCAAGGAGACATGGTGGTTCTGCCAGTCACTCTTCCCCATGGTGGCCCATGCCTACTCTACTGTCCCTATCTATCACAGTGGCCAGAATGGCTTCATGTTCTGCAGCAAAAACTCGAGCACCAACTTCCAGAAGCCCAGGCAACAAATGACACAGCAGTAGGTGGAGCAGGTGCAGCTGCTCAGATGTGTACAGTGCTGCCTTTGTACTGCCCCAAGTCGCCTGCAAGTCCCAGAATGAGGTGAGCTGAGCCCAGGCCGCCACAGCAGATACCAGTCGGGACCTCAGATCTGGGAGCCTCCAGAGTGCCTGCGCTCCCTTTAGCCCTAGGCCAGACCCCCTACTGACTGCTACCTGCTAACCAATTGTTATAGGCCCCAGAATACTGCCCAGCCTTCCCTGCTGAGCATTGGACTGTTTCTGTGTCTGTCTCTGTGGGGCATTCAGCCTCCAAGCCTATACCAGCTGTGTACAATACAGTCTCCCTGCCTTTTGTGACCCCCTCAATCAAACAATAATAAAAAAAAAAAATGAATGAATAAATAATTCAAAAAACAGGCTTTAAAATACTTATTCTCTGGGCATGGTGATAACACAGCCATAACCCTAGCTATCTGAGGCTGATGTGGGAGGATCCCTTGGGTCTAGGAGTTTGAGACCAGCCTGCGCAACATACCAGACCCAGTCTCAAAAAGTACACAAGTAAATAAAATTTTAAGGTAGCTGTTTTGAAAGACATATTAAAACAAACAGACAAAAACAAACTTTAAGCAGAGACAAAGTAAATAAAATAATGAAGTATAAAATATTGATTATTCTGAGTGACTTCTTTTGAATCTATTTCATTCTCCTCAGCCCTGCTACTACCTTCCCCATTACTTCTCATGGAGATCACTGCAACAGCTCATCAACTGGCATCCCTGCCATTTTGCTTTGCCCTTCCTCAGATCCATCTCTATACACTGCAGCAGACATGACTTTTAAATTCAGGATCCACTCCTGAGCTCTAGACACCCCAGGGGCCTGACCTACAATGGTCACACACTGTTTTTAAGAGTAAATTAGATCTGAAAAAAGTATGTGCCATTCTGAACAAAAACGTACATGTGTCAGAGTCTGGAAGGCATGATAATCATCCACGTCTTGGGCAACATAATTATATGCTCTAAGAACAGCCACTCCAGCATCTTGCATCCCATCAACATCTTCAGAGTCATTAACCACAAAGATAAAACCAATTCTGGAGGGAAAGGGAAAAGAAGAAAAAGAAACATGTCAAAGAATACAAATGGTTAAAAAGAGTGACATTCTTATACCCTTCTCATACATTGTAGCTAAGAGAGGAAAACTCTTTGAGTGAAAAGCATGGTTCACAGCCTACTCTAACATGATCGCCACAGAAAATTATACATACACCACTTACAAAGTATTTTTCTTTTCTTGAGACAGAGTTTCATTCTTGTCACCCAGGCTAGAGTGCAACGAGTGCAATCTAGGCTCACTGCAACCTCTGTCTCCCAGGTTCAAGCGATTCTCCTGCCTCAGCCCCCCGAGTAGCTGGGATTACAGGCTACTACCCCTGGCTAATTTTTTGTATTTTTAGTAGAGACAGGGTTTCACCATGTTGGCCAGGCTGGTGTCGAACTCCTTACCTCAGGTGATCCATCAGCCTCGGCCTCCCAAAGTGCTGGGATTACAGGCATGAGTACCACACCTAGCCACTTATAAAGTATTAAAAAATCAGGCTCTCAAATGTGACTTAGACCTTTCTACAGTTAAAGCAAGCCATTTCCATGTCATGAAAAGATTCCTTTACTGACATGAAGAGTGTTGCTACAGTTTTAGGATTTTTTTTTTCTGCTTTTAAACAAAATTTTTAAGACATACAAATTTTCACACCATAAAAGTAAACAGAAAGGGGAGGGGATTGTAACATTTAGCATATGCAGTATCAGAATTATTGGTAAAAGAAAAGCCAAAAAAGGTTTACAATTGTCCCACAACAAAAAGCAATAGCCAAGGTTAAAGTTTATCTGATTTTAAATTTTAAAATAAAGGAATTAACCACAGAGACACCATTATATATCTATAGTTAGGCTGGCAAAAAAAAACTTTGCACTAACTATATTGGGGCAAAAGCAGTTCAATGGACAAAGAATCACCTTTTCAACAAATGGTGCTGAACAACCAGACATGTACATGCAAATTATTCAGTCTAGACACAGACCTTATTTCTTTCACAAAAATTAATTCAAAGTGGATCATAGGTCCAAATGTAAAACACAAAAACTAAAATTCCTAGACAACAGCAAAGAAGAAAATTTAGGTGATCTCAGGATGGCAATGATGTTAGATCCAAAAGCACAATCCATGAAAGACAACATTTGGTTAATTTGAACTTCACTAAAATTAAAAATGTCAGCTGGGTGCCATGGCTCACGCCTGCAATCCCAGCACTTTGGGAGGCTGAGGCAGGTGGATCATGAGGTCAGGTTCAAGACCAGCCGAGCCAAGATGGTAAAACCCCATCTCTACTAAAAATACAAAAAAATTAGCCGGGCGTGGTGGCGTACACCTGTAATCCCAGCTATTCAGGAGGCTGAGGCAGAAAAATCACTTGAACCCGAGAGGCAGAGGTTGCAGTGAGCCAAGATCGTGCACTCCAGCCTGGGTGACAGAGTGAGACTCCGTCTCAAAACAGAAAAAAAAAAAGTCTGTCCTGTGAAAGACACTATTAAGAGAACAAAGGGGCAAGCTGTAGAGTGGCAGAAAATCTTTGCAAAACAACCATCTGATAAAGGACAGGTAAACAAAATATGCAACTCCTCGTTTGTTTCTCAGACAGGGTCTTGCTCTGTTGCCAACGACAGAGTGCAGTGGCATGATCAGCTCACTGTAGCTTCAAACCTCTGGGCTCAAACAGTCCTCCACTTCAGCCTCCCAAGTATCTGGGACTATAGGCATGTGCCACCATGCCTGCCTACTCTTTTTTAATTCTTTGTAGAGATGGGGGTCTTCCCAGGTTGCCCACAGTGATCTCAAATCCTGGCCTCAAGCAATCCTTTCACCTTGGCCTCCCAAAGTCCTGGGATTATAGGCGTAGGCCATTGCACCGGGCCTACAACAACTCTTAAAACTCAACAATAAGAAAACAAATAGGCCAGGCGCAGTGGCTCACACCTATAATCCCAGCACTTTGGGAGGCCGAGGCGGGTGGATCACGAGGTCAAGAGATCGAGACCATCCTGGTCAACAAGGTGAAACCCCGTCTCTGCTAAAAATACAAAAATTAGCTAGGCATGGTGGCGCATGCCTGTAGTCCCCGCTACTCAGGAGGCTGAGGTGGGAGAATTGCTTGAACCCAGAAGGCGGAGGTTGCAGTGAGCCGAGATCTCGCCATTGCACTCCAGCCTGGGTAACAAGAGCGAAACTCCGTCTCAAAAAAAAAAGGAAACAAACAACCGAAGTTTTAAAAATGGACAAAAGTGCGGGGGGAAAAAAAGGACAAAAGATCTTAACAGACACTTCACCAAACAAGATATACAGATAGATGATAAATATAAGTATATCCTGAACATCACATGGCATTAGGGAACAGCAAATTAAACAACAATGATATACCATCACACACCTATCAGAATGACCAAAATCCTAAATGCTGGCAACACCAAATGCTGGCAACACCAAATGCTGGCAACACCAAATGCTGGCAAGGCTGTGGAGCAACAGGATCTCTCATTCACTGCTGGAGGGAATGCAAAATGGTGCCGCTACTTTGGAACACAGTTCGGCAGGTTCTTACAAAACTAAGCACAGTCTTAACACATGAGGCAGCAATCATGCTTCTTGGTATTTATCCAAAGAAGCTGATGGCATGTCCACAGAGATATCTGTACCCAGATGTTTATAGCAGCTTTATTCATAACTGCCAAAACTTGTAGGCAACTAAGGTATCTTTCAATTAAGTGAATGGATAAGTAAAGGGGGGGACATCCATATAATGACTATTATCCAGTGATAAAAAGACACGAGCTATCAAGCCATGAGAAGACACAAGAGGAAGCCTAAATGCACATTGCTAAGTGAAAGACACCAATCTAAATAGGCTATATGCTGTACAATTGCAACCACAAAACGTTCTGGAAAATGCGAAACTATGAGGACAGTAGAAAAATCAGCAGTGACTGCAACCACAGAACGTTCTGGAAAATGCAAAACTATGAAAACTGTAGAAAGATAAGCAGTTGCCAAAGATATAGGGATAGGGAAGAAGAGATAAACAAGTGAAGCACAGGAGATTTTTAGAGAAGTGAAACTAATCTGTATTAAACAGTATTGTAATGTGAATACTTGACATCATACATTTGTGTCATCAACACAAATAATGAATCCTAATGTAAACTATGGAGTTTAGTTAATAATAATGTATCATTATTTAGTAGTCAACATGTAAGACCACATGAGCTCCTACAAAGAAGAAAGGAACAGCCTATATGCCTAGCTCTCTCCAACTACTCACAATCTCTCAGTGGCGTAGGAGTTCAAGTGCCTTATTCTTACCTACCTTTGCAACCTGAAGACCACATGCCCTCTTCTCATCCCTCAATTCAAGAAATATTGTATAAGTGCCAACCGTGTACCATGACCTAACTTCTTCTGTCTCTCATATTTCTCTTCTAATCAATACATAGCTCTGGCTTTAATCCAGTAATAGGTTCTTCCATCTAACCAGCTGTATTCATGCTTTATATGAAAAATGTCATTATTCAACCACAAAACCCTCTGTTTTCCTCAAAGCCTATCTGAAATCCAACTTCTCCATAAACCTTCATGCTTCCCAAATATCTCAATGAGTTTTTGTTTCCCTGAAATTCTAATGCACTTATAACTAACCAATAGGTTATAACTAACCTTGCAGTTGATGATGTATCTCCCTAAAGCATTTGAAAGTATACAGAAGATCTTTTCCAAGAAGGTAGAATAAGGCATATATATTCACAGCATTTAGTTCAGTAGTAGTCATGGAACACACGGTACTATTTATTGAATAAAGAGTTAATTTCTTATTTTCACATTTTCTAAGAATTAAAATTTCACCAACACGTAGGAGAATTATTGAGAATATAGGTGAAAATATCTTAGCATTTATATGTAAAACCTTTAAAAAAAAAAAAAAAACTGTTCTTGAAAGGACAGTGGAAATCCAGCCATTCAGTAACCTGTTGATAGGTTTGGCAACAGAAATGAAGTAACTGTTACTGTTTGCATCTACAAAAGGCTGTGTATATATTTGGTCCTTGACAATGTAACAAGTTATTGGCAATGCTTTATATCTCTTCTGAAAGTGGAAATAGGTTTTGTGATGTGGACACTCACCTGGAAAAATTCCCTTCCATTGGGAAGCAAGCTGCAGCCACAAACTATTTTTACATGGGCTATTTATTGATAATTCAATGGCGGTAAGCTTCTATTCACTGAGAAGCAAATTCTCAGTCCCAAAAGACACTGGCTTTATACTGACCAGAAGATAAAACTGCCATTAGTGATCTACACTATTAATTATCCTACAACTAAGTAGCACCAGATTTGCATTTAAAAATGACAAAATCTCAGCTAAATTAGACATATCATCAAATCAGTAACAGTGTTACCTTAGTGGTATATGATTGCTAAGGAACATCTCAGCTGTGTTAATCAACTCTGTTGTGGTCTCATGTGCAGGATCAACTATGAAAACCTGTTGAAGAAAGGGACAAGAACACATGAAATGACATTTATTCAAATATCTGTGGGCCAAGAAAAATGTTATTAGTCACTCTACATGAAGCCAACCTTTTCTGAACTATGCTTAAACCGCATAAAAGATGAATTATACAAATAGCAGCTACCTCCCTCTATGTTCAAAAAATGTGGTACTGAAAGGCTAGGTGATTTTCTCATGGACTTACACTGGTAACATGGGAACTGTATTCCAGAGTGCTGATGCCTGTTCTTTAACTACACCAAACAAAAACCAAGTTTAGCAACTCTCTCACCTTCACGAATGGAGCCTACCTTTCTGTATATTCACTTCTGAGGATCTCTGAATTAAGAATTCACTTAGAACCTAATTATGAGACCACAGTCACATCTGTCAGGTAAGCACATAAGCACGTATTATGTGCTAGGCAACTTGCACGTATTTTCTCACTTAATCAAATTCAGACATACGGTAAAACAGAACAAGATTTAAATTCTGACTAAAAGGGAGAGAAGCGTTTTCAAGAGAAAGAAAATTGGCCAGGTGTGGTGGCTCACACCTGTAATTCTAGCACTTTGGGAGGCGAAGGTGGGCGGATCACCTGAGTTCAGGAGTTTGAGACCACCCTGGCCAACATAGTAAAACCCCATCTCTACTAAAAATATAAAAAATAAGCTGGGCGTGGTGGTGCGTGCCTGTAATCCTAGCTATTTGGGAGGCTGAGGCAGGAGAATCGCTTGAACCCTGGGGGCAGAGGTTGCAGGGAGCCGCGATCCTGCCACTGCACTCCAGCCTGGGCAACAGAGTGAGACTCCATCTGAAAAAAAAAAAAAAGAGAGAAAGAAAGAAAAGTAGTGGGCAATTTCCCCTGCAAGTTCTGAGGAGGCAAACCTTGGCACTAACCCTGCCCTTATCTCTTTCCCAGCTGTGTCAGGGAAGGGAAAGAAATGCGATGAAAAAAGTGGGCCAGTTGAGAACCCTCATTCTCTCTCTCTAAAGCAGTGCAAGAAGGAATAACAAGTAGGAGTTGACAAACAGCCTTATTTAAGGTAATAAATTAAACTGCTGAATTTTAGGGATTAAGATATTAAAGAAAAACCGTAGCAATATGCACCTTCTTACATAAAAAAAGAGAGCTATCTTAAAACTAATAAAACAACATTGCTTATAAATCTAAAACTGCTCTAAAAAACATAAAGTCTTAAAAACATCATTGAATGGTGTGAAGGGTATGAAGAGAGAATTTTTTCCATCTGGAAAAGCTGATTCAAAAAAAATAAAAATTATAAAATAAAAAATGTTTTAAAATTAAAAATAAAATGTTTTAAAACTAAAAACAAACTAAAAGACTAAAACAAAGTCTAAACCTTCGTGTTAAAAATGAGCATTTCCCTACACTCCAAGCAGGGCTGAAATGCTGCTGTTACATCCCACAGCCCCAAAAGTGGTCAGTACATTACAGTCCCTTCCAGTGTGAATAGAGAGAGTATTTGATGGAGGCCTGGGGAGGAAGCAGCTAGTAAAAGCAAGAAGTGACCATTCTATATATGACAAAAAAGCAGGGACCAGCCAAGGGAAAAACAGAGTTCACAGCCAGACCATAAGTTTTACTTACCATATTATGTAAGTTTTTCCTGATCTGTCGAATAACACCAGGAAAAGTGGGTCGAAGCAACTCTTGTAAACTAGAAGGCCACGAATTATATCTGCTATCAACCTCCAGGTTGTTGACCCACTACAAAATATAACACATTAAGATGCATGCACATTAGTCACCAGTTAGTAATATTGCAATAACAACAGTAAGTCTTCAAATTATTTTTAAGAAGAATCACAAGACAAGACCATTTTCAAAGATTAAAAAGGTTACGTGCAGTGGTTTACATCTGTAATCCTAGCACTTTGGGAGGTCAAGTAAGGCAGGACTGCTTGAACGCAGGAGTTCAAGACCAGCCTGGGCAATATTATGAGACCTCCATCACTTTCAAAAATATATAAAAATTAGCCAGGCATGGTGGCTGCTGTCCCAGCCACTCAGGAGGTTGATGCAGGAGAATCACCTGATCCCAAGGGGTTTGAGACTACAGTAAGCCATGATCGTGCCACTGCACTCCAGCCTGAGCAACAGAGCAAGACTTTATCTCAAAAAACAAAAAAATAAAAAATAAAAAGATCGAGTAGAAAAATGAGTGACTAGAGCCAGGCGCGGTGGCTCACGCCTGTAATCCCAGCACTTTGGGAGGCTGAGGCGGGTGGATCATGAGGTCAAGAGATCGAGACCATCCTGGTCAACATGGTGAAACCCCGTCTCTACTAAAAATACAAAAAATCAGCTGGGCATGGTGGCGTGTGCCTGTAATCCCAGCTACTCAGGAGGCTGAGGCAGGAGAATTGCCTGAACCCAGGAGGCGGAGGTTGCGGTGAGCCAAGATAGCGCCATTGCACTCCAGCCTGGGTAACAAGAGCAAAAACTCCGTCTAAAAAAAAAAAGAAAAATGAGTGACTAAAAGACGAGCCACGGAACAGATGAAGACATTTGTAACCAACAAACCCAATAAAGGACTAGTGTCAAGAATGAAGAAGGACATAAAAATAAGAGAAAGAAGCAAAATAACTTATTTTTTGAGAGGGAGTCTCTCTCTGTCAACCAGGCTAGATAGAGTACAGTGGAGCAATCTTGGCTCACTGCAATCTCTGTCTCTTGGGTTCAAGCAATTCTCGCGCCTCAACCTCCCAAGTAGCTGGAACTACAGGCACTCACCACCATAACTGGCTAATTTTTATATTTTTAGTAGAGACGGGATTTCGCCATGTTGGCTAGGCTCATCTCAAACTCCTGACCTCAAGTGAACCGCCGACCTTGGCCTCCCAGTGTGCTCAGATTACAGGCATGAGCCACTGCGCCCAGCACTAAACTTTTTAAGAACAAAGGAAAAAAAAAGCAATTTTTTTTTTTTTTTGAGACGGAGTTTCGCTCTTGTTACCCAGGCTGGAGTGCAATGGCGCGATCTCGGCTCACCGCAACCTCCACCTCCTGGGTTCAGGCAATTCTCCTGCCTCAGCCTCCTGAGTAGCTGGGACTACAGGCACACGCCACCATGCCCAGCTAATTTTTTGTAGTTTTAGTAGAGACGGGGTTTCAGCATGTTGACCAGGATGGTCTTGATCTCTTGACCTCGTGATCCACCCGCCTCGGCCTCCCAAAGTGCTGGGATTACAGGCTTGAGCCACCGCGCCCGGCCAAAAAAAACCAATTTTAAAAAAATAGTATGAATAAGAAATTTACAGAGGAAACCCAAAATGGGCAATAAACATAAGAAATGTGTACACCCTCAATTGTAATCTAGGAACTATGAGCTAAGACCTCAATGAAATTTCACACTTGCTAGACAAAAAAAGTGAAAGTTTGTCAAGATCCAAGAATAGGAAAAGATATAAAGCAAAGAGAACTCTCATGCAATGCTGGTGTATGGACAACCACTTTAGAGAACTGGATCTAATAAAGTTGAAGACTATATTGGCACTAATTTTTCTAAAATAAATCCAGTACCACTAAGTACTCTAGATCCAGGTATCTACCCCAAATAAATTCACATGTATACATAAAAAGAGAGGAAAAAAAGAACCTAACTACAGTTGTGTTTACAACAGCAAAATTAGAAACTACTTCATATCCACAAAGAGCAATGGATCAAGAGGCTAAAGCGGAAGGATCTCTCGAACACAGGAGTTCAAGGCTACTACAGTGAGCTATGATTGCTTCCCTGCACTCCAGCAGGGTTTTGCCATGTTGGCCAGGCAGGTCTCAAACTCCTGAGCTAAAGTGATCTGCCCACCACGACCTCCCAAAGTGCTGGGATTACTGGTGTGAGCCATTGAGCCTGGCCAGATTATCGAAATTTTTAAATTATTAAATAGGAGCCAGGCAAGGTGGTGCATAACTATGGTTCCAGCTACTCACAAAGCTGAGGCAAGAGGATTGCTTGACTCCAGGAATCTGAGTCCAGCCTGGACGAAATAGTGAGGCTCATTGCTAAAATAACAAAAGAAATAAAAAAAAAATTGATAGGAAAAAAAGGATAAAATAAGAGACAAGGGAATGCACACCAACTTGAGAAAAGAAACAAACTGCAGGAAGGAGGGGGAGGCTAGTAAGGGACAAAGAAGGGCTTCAACTAAAACTTTTTTTTTTCCAAAAAAAGTTAAATCTAACACAAAATGACTAAATGTTAAGATAGTAAGCATAATGATGGGTCCTATGGTTGTTAGTCCCTTTATGTTTGTATAAACGTGTGTCATGTTGTTATTATCCTTTACTCCTTGTAAGAATTGTTAACAGAAAAATAAATGACAATGTCTTCATCAAAATAAGTTGTATCACCAAGTGTGAATTCAAGTAATGATCATCTACAGTCTATATTATTTCTCTTAAATATGCAGTACAGAAACCAAAAAAAAATCAGGTCAGCTCTCCCCTTTTATTTTTACCATGACTGCCCAAGATGACACTATTCCCCACCTTCTGTCTCTCTCTCTCTCTCTCTCTCTCTCTCTCTCTCTCTGTTTCTCTTTTTGAGATGGAGTCTTGCTCTGCCACCCATGCTGGAGTGCAGTGGCATGATCTCAACTCACTGCAACCCCCACCTCCCAGGTTCAAGTGATCCTCCTGCTTCAGCCTCCTAAGTAGCTAGGATTACAGGTGCATGCCACCACACCTGGCTAATTTTTGTATTTTGAGTATTTTGAGTACAGATGGGGTTTCACCATTTTGTTTGGCCAAGCTAGTCCTGAACTCCTGACCTCAGGTGATCTGCCCGTGTCCAGCTTCCCAAAGTGCTGGGATTACAGGCATGAGCCACCACGCCCGGCCCTATTCCCCACATTCTCTGACAGATGACGAGACAACGGCTCAGAAAGATCACACGGCAGGCAAAAATCTATATAAATCCTTTAAATACCAAATACCAAAATCCTACTAAAGAAGGTTCTTAACTAAAAAGTGACATTTTTGATTGTAGTTTTAATTTATAGATGTCACAAAATCACACAAGAACTGTATGCAATTGAGAAAATACAAATTAAACACTTTTTCCCAAGAGATGATCAGCTGAACCCTAGGGGCATGCTAAAGTGAAAAAAAAAATCACTGTTTGGCGAGGCATGTTGGCTCACACCTGTAATCCGAGCACTTTGGGAAACCAAGGTGGGTGAATCACCTGAGGTCAGGAGTTTGTGACCAGCCTGACCAATATGGTGAAACCCCGTCTCTACTAAAACTACAAAAATTAGTTGGGCGTGATGGCATGCACCTGTAATCCCAGTTACTCAGGAGGCTGAAGCAGAACTGCTTAAACCTGGGGGGAAGAGGTTGCAGTAAGCCAAGATCGCACCACTGCACTCCAGCCTGGATGACAGAGCAAGACTCTCAAAAAAAAAAAAAAAAAATCACTCTCTTAACCACATTAGCAACAGTAACTCAATTTTCTTGGAGCATTTAAGGGCCTACTTTATTACATACACAAAGTCCCATATAAGTGACTATAAATCTTTCACATCAACAAAAGAGATGGTATAAGTGACTTCACCCTCATAGGAGACAAATTTGAAAATCATAATAAAGATTCCTGGTCAGAAAGTCTTTTGATCACCCTAAAAAAAATACTCACTGAAATAGCAGGACTCCTGATGTCTACTGCATAGTCAGCCTCAGAGGGCTGGATGTTCAGCTTCAAAACATTATGCAGAGAAAGGCCTTCTATTCCCAATCTATGCAGACCCTCCATTACCCGAGCTTCATTTCTCAACACATCAAACAGACTGGGGGGAGAAACAGAAAGGTATTTAGTAGGAGAAAAATGCTTTAAAAAATTCTCACCATGAAAAAAAAAATGTATCAGTTCAACCTCCTCTCCAGTTTCATCTGCTCAAAGTATGCAGAAGAAAGCAGTTAAGACTGGTTTCTTGGTTCATCTTTATTCATACTCACTGTTGCATATGTAAGTTATCTCAAAGAATAAACATACAAATTGAGGATGAAATAACCCTTTAGGGTATTTTAGGGTATGCACTTTTATACCACATGATTTTAAAAACAGTACATTAATCTCTCTGTATTCTTTCTTATAATTGCATGTGAATTTATAATTATCTCAAAATAAAAATTAAAGAGATACTACATTATATATGCCTAATATATGTTTCAATGTCAGTACCAATTCACAGAGGCAAACATATGACCACAGAAAAAAGTCTGGAAGAATCCACACCCAACTTAGAATTTTGCTGTGAGAGACAGAAAAGATAAGAGAGGAAAGAGAAATAAGATGATGTGACAAAAAATAATTTTGAGGCTGTCTGAAAATAACAAATGAATGAAGTCTGAATTCTACCTGAGTGCTACCCAGCCCAGAATCATGAAGACAATAGAATGCAATGTAATCCTGAACCACATTTTAACAAGAAATGGGTATTCAAATAATATATTTAGAAAGAAAACCCTCTGAGACACAAGATACAGTATTTTTTCTTTCTTTTTTTTTTTTTGGAGATAGAGTCTTGCTCTGTGGCCCAGGCTGGAGTGCTGTGGTACCCAGCCCAGAATCATGAAGACAATAGAATGC